TTTATTAATAATTATTAATAATAACCTTTATTAATAATTATTAATAAAGGGTTTTCAAACTATATAATTTAGGAATGTAAGATAATACTGTATGTTAATAGATATGATTATCTGTAAACAGAACTAAACAATCTTAAAGCCTAGTATTCACACTTATTTTATTCTTATATACAGTATTAAAAATTTGTAAAATATACTATCCACTATACTGTTGAAAATAACACATTTTGATGTGATGTCTTCTTAAATAAAAATATTATTGGAAAGTAATATTTATGCAAATATTTTTATAAATATAATAACAAAGTTTTACATTAAAATTCATACGAAAATGGTTAGATTAAATGTATACCTAACCTTAAAACCATAAACATTAATTCTACAAAAAATAAAATAAATAAAATTCAAAAACTTACGTTCTAATTGATTTAATGGTATTCCACTTTTGGTAGATATTAGACAAGCATTTAATTCGAGTAGTACTGAATCCAAATCGTTCATTTTTCTGGTTTATTTTAAAAATAAAAATATATTTTATAATATATAAATATAATTATAAATTATAAATGAACAATAAAAATTATTAGTGTATAAATGAAATTAGTAATAAAATTGTATTTCAATGTGAATCATGAATGCATATTGTAATAAGTTATTACATGTAAATTCATTAAAAGAGGATTACTAAAATACATTATAAATGTTATCAATTACAAATATATAAAAGTTCTGTTTAGTAAGAAATAGGAATGCTTATGGGTGTCCAATCCAAATTCCTAAAAACTTTTAAAATGAATACGATTTTGGTTTTTTGAACAATGAATGATGATGGAATTATGATTGATGATAAACAATAGAGAACGAAATGGGAAGAACAAAATAAACGATATGGATAAACTAAAAGAAAACTTACTAGCGGACGAAACACGACTTAAATATTTGTTGCTAATACGCCGTCCGCAGTCTGTACCGGTACCACTATTTGTGAGTTTACGATTTACTAAGTTACGTTTTACAGACACAGTCGTATCTAGTTAAGTAACTCGAGTATAATCAGTGGTCGCAAACACGTACCCTCTCCGTCACTCAGTAGTCTGATCACACATTCGCACACGATCACAATGACAAAGTTTAATTGGACTCAACTATTTTTAATTGGATTTCAGCGAATTACAATATGTATGCACCGGTGGAGAGCGGAACTAAGACTGTTCAAGAAAAACCGCGGGAGAAAAAAATTAAAATTATGTTAAACGATTTTAAATAATTTTTACTAGATTATAGATACTGAATTATAACTATTATAATTTTTGTTAGTATTAAGTAGTAGTAGATTATTTTACTGGATTCGGAGTTAATCCTATAATCGAATGACTCAACGGATAGAACAATTGTCGGCGGGAAACTTGCTGTAAAAATAAGTGCTCCAATAATTATAAGTATACATTTTATAGTTAATTATTACATTATTTTAGACAATAGTATAAAAACATATATACGTACCAACTACCGGGACTAGGAACTGCACTACTGCAGTCTGCTAAAGTGCATTCTAAATAGTGAATACAGTGGCAGTACACTTAATAGTTAATACTGTAAATTGATATCACGAAGGTGTCTGACAGTTGCACAAACGTCCGTGCCTCATACGTGATAGTTACTCCGAAAGTGTTTAATAATTCTTTATAATGCAGTAGTGCAATACATGACTTATAATATCATAGTGTAGTGTACACTGTACATTTATTAGCCTATTATTTATTATACTATTATATATATATATCATTGCATACGTGTAAACGGAGCATCCTAAATTCCTAAGCATTCCGTAACCAACGTGTTAACGATAAACGAGTTGCATTCACATTTCACAGTTAAATGGGAACATTTATTTGGCTTTGGCATTCATTTCGTGGATTCGCGCCTGATTGAAGATCGAAGTATTATCATTAGTTGAGTTTTGGTTCAGGTCTGCGCATTACGTCATTAGCCTACCCGTATTATCAGCACGAAATAAGATAATATACTAATATAGACGCCCATCACTAAGTATAGTAATATTACAATTAATATTTAAATATTTAAAATTTAATTAATTAAAAATTCTTGATTATCTATTGATTATTAATAACATTTTTTCGACTTAAACTCATGCAGTTATTCTACAAAAAGACGGAATCGTCAAAAAATTCATGAAATAGAGATGTTTAATATCATCATGGGCTTGACGATCGGGCTATGCGTATGCTGTTACTATATTATTAATTATTATTAATATATAGCAATTAATATTTAATATACCAATATCGCTTGCATATTCTGACCATATCTCATTGGCCATTGCTGCAAATAGCAAATAGAACAAATTACAATACTATATAGTAGCAATAGTAGCATGGTATGCTACATTGTTTAATGTCTATGTATATAAATAATACATTTGGAAAGTACCTAGCATAGCACGGGTAGCGTTAGCGGTTTTGTAAAAATAGCAATGAAAGTAAAATCATACTAAAATCTAAATATTATAATCTTAAAGCAAATTAATTTTAAAATACACTTAATATTTATAAATATTTTCTTTTTTCATGTATTTGTTATGCAATCTGTAAATAATATTATATAAGTAAACAATAAGAAAAATATTCGTATTTAAAAAAGCATCATGCCATCCTGCAGTATACCTATATCGTATGACAATATATATCTTGTATATATATATATATATATGTTATATATGTTGTATATGTTATATATGTTATATATGTTGTGTATCATGATTTAAGATATAGCATTGACTATAAATACTATGTAATATGTAGTATTAATAATAAATTACAATTATTATTTCAAGCTGTGTTATTAACAATTTTAACACATATTATTACTTCAATTATTACCATATTGTGTAGTTGTAGTTAATCATCACAACTACCTAAAACAACTAAAATTGATTCAGATTATTAGATTTATAAAAATGTGTGGATACCACCAGCTAGTCAGCAGACCAATACTTAATTGTAATGCCAAAAGGTATAAACAATAAAAACATTGTTAAAAATTATGTTTATAAATACATTTTGTTAGGATTAAATAATAGTGTTGAAAAAATCAGCCACATTCCCTCGTGACATAATAATTTGACCGCTACTGATTGAAGTGATATACCTACTATAAATAATAAATAATACGGTACGTCATTACACTTAACTCTTTAGAATTTAAAGTTTAGATAAATTCGTCCGTGGATAAATTTGCCTATTATTACGAAAATACGTACCAATAAGTAGTTAGTAACAACATGGTAACCTCAAAAATATCGACAAACTTGTTAAATCCATAGACTTAACTCGAGAATAAGGTTTATGGTTAAGTATTGTTACTTATTTATTTTGGTTCTTATCAACTTGCACGCGTTTTTAGACGTTCGTGTGGTAGAGCCTAAATGCTTGATTGTATAAAAACTTACTTTACGACCCGTATTAATAGTTTAGTCATGTCCGTATTATAGTGTGTATTTCGATTTAGTAACTTTATTTGATGACAATTATATTTTTAACTTGAATTGTTTAATTTTTTTTAAACAATATGTTGTTTTATAGTGGCTTTCGAATCTTGTAAAAAAAAATCTTGAATCTCATCAATAAATACAAAAATCATCCGACGATGTGTTTCAAAAATAAATATTACTAAAAATAAGCACCTTCTCAATTGAGATATTCCGTGATTCCTATTTTGATATTATTTTTGTTACTATTGAAGTATTGAACATAAAACTAAAGAGAACAATTATCTACTACTGAAAACGATGTCAGATTTTCTGCAATTACCTAATAATAATTTAATATAATACTATATTTTGATTTAGATTTAATATTTTTCATTTTTATTAAGTATTATTAGTACAAACACAATTAATTTCTATGAAAAATATGTTAAACATCTAATCAGATTATTAGGAATTATGCGGGATAATCAATTAATGAGCAGGTTAACTTGAATTAAATGAAAGGTAAATAACCATTAGAATTTATCAATGTCGTCAATATTGAAAATGAAAAAAGATAGTTATTTAACGAAAAAAAATTGATAATAATTTATAAATTATAAGGCTTGAGACTTTATTGAGTTGGAAGAGTTGGAAGGTTTAGTAGTTCTATATTTGGTCATTTCGATGTTATAGTACCTCGCTGATCTGTTAATAACTAAAAATTCATAGTTTCTTTTATTCTTGAGTTAGAACTTAGAGAATGGAGTAGTAGACGGAACAGGTGTAGTCTGGAGTTTAATGATTTTATTTTATTTTGATGCTAGGTCCAATAAAGATATCTATCAAACGTCATATAGTAATAATGATAATAAAAAAGTTATTAATTTATTAAATTAAAAAATATTTTTTTTAAAAGTGCTTAAAGTTAGAATCTTAACAAAATTCATCAAAATATGGAACATTTATTAATTATTTTTAAGTAGAAATGCATAAACAAAAATTTTGTTTGAAAAATTATTATCTGATTTCTCACTAGTTACTCCTAGGTACCTATAATAAAAACACAGGAAACTTATATTAAACATCTTTAATAGCAATTAGAAGTTAAACATTTTATGATATTGGCTATTCATCCTTATTATTATAACTATTTTTCTTAAACAATTTTTGTTTTTATTGTAATTTAAAAATGAATAATAATAGATGCTAAAAATATCCACATTATAGAATTTTATAAATGTTTTGGATAATTAATAAACATTCGAAATTTGCTGGTTAAAAATTTTTAAAAATATAAAACAAGATCCCACATAATTTGTTTTTATACTTGTATAAAAATATATATGCAAGGTTTTTTTTATGTATTTGAACTTTATATTTTTTTAAAGTTTGTCAAAACCACGATAATGTACAAAGTACAAGTATTTTGTAGTAAAAATTTAAAAATTGAATACAATGTTCCATATAAGTAGTTTATATTGAAACTAAAAAATACACAAATACAATTATTTTATAGTTGCTGCACCGGATAAGATTCTATTATGATACAACTTGTAGGTGATTTGGTCACTAAGTTTTTAAGTTACATCTTACATCCCTACATCATAGATCTCACCTTATCTACAACATACTGACTAATGAATAATAATTATTGTTAAAATGTTATGAGGACAATAATTATCATTATATTGTCTTCCTTATGTGGTATAAAAATAAGAAATAACTAGGTAGTAGGTATACATAAGACTAAGGAACAAGGACTTACGATTTAATATAAAAAATAAAAATAAAATAACAAACATTGAAATATTCATGATTAGAAAAGAGCCAACAACTTATTATATTTTTATCATATTTGTAAAATTAGGAAATAGATGTATTATAAAATAAACCTTACCTATCTGAATTATTATAATTTACTAATTAATCAACAACTGTATCAACATTTTTCCAAAATATATTTTTAAAACTCCTTATTTTTATGTTCCAAACTTTTATCTATGATTCATAGTATCATTGAGTTTAAATTTAAATACTAGAATATAATATAATCAAAGATCTTATATTAACAATATACTTACTCAATAAATTATAAATTATTGTACTCATTAGTCATTATTATCATTATTCATTTACCATGTGCTTCAAAGATAAGTATTAAGTGATATAATTATCAATTTCAATATTAGATATTTGATAATGTATACTGATAACTGGTCCTGCTCGGTCTATAACATAATTATTACGCACTGCGCAAACAAAATCGTCAAAATGAATCGTGATGTCGAGTTTACATCATCCAACTTCTAATTTCTAATTTCTTTATTAATACACTCATATCGCGAAGTATAGATATGTCGAAAATCATGAAACGTACTGTTTTTGATCTTCCGGTGTCGTTGCGTATCACATTCAGCGGACCGATGGTATATCAAGCGCGCACCGCACACAACGTTCGGGCGCCGCGTATCAAATATCCGTTATGGTATTTGCAACGAGAGCGGGCAAAGGACGATCAGCAACTTACCGGAGACAACCGCTCCTTCATCAAGGAAGCCGTGCATGACAAATTTGGCATGCCGGCTGTGATTCACGGTATATCTACCTATGATGTGCGATCTCCGTTGAGTGAAGACTCTGTCGAGTGCATGAACGTCGAATGGAATCCTAAGTTCCAACGCACCGGGCTTATAGCTCGCAAGTTGGGCAACTACCCGATGTGGCTGAACAACGGCAAGAGCGTGCTTACTACCCTTTTGCAAGTTATTGATAACCATGTAATTAAATATATCCCCCCAGATGAGTTCAATCCACCAAGGAAACCATATTCATGTCCTAATCACAAAAAACAACTAGGATGTCTACTAGTAGGCGCTGAGAGTGCTGATCCCCAATATTTTACTAAGCAATATTGTGGATTATTTTATAGAGAAGGTATGATGCCAAAAAAATACCTTGGCAGATTTATGGTTTCTCCAGAAGCTGCTCTGCAACCAGGTACACCACTTTTGGCTTCTCATTTTCGGGCTGGAGATTTTATTGATGTACGTGGAAAAACTATTGATCGAGGATTTCAAGGCGTAATGAAACGGCATGGTTTTCACGGTATGCCCGCAACCCATGGTGTAACCAAATCTCATCGCCGAGGAGGTAATGTAGGCCATGGTGGTGAAAAGGGTAGAATTTTCCCCGGAACAAAAATGCCTGGACATATGGGTAATAGATATAGGTTACACAAGGGAGCTGAAATTTTAAGAATCAACCACAAATATAATGTTATATGGATAAAAGGAGTAGCATCACCAGGAGAAACAAATTCAATAGTTTATTTGTACGATACTATACTACCATTAAGAAAGCACAAGTCACCACCACCATTTCCAACATCCAAAGTTGTAGATGATGATCAATTAATAGATTCATATAAAGAGAATGTATACAAATTCACTGACCAAACAATAACATTTGAAGAAGACAAATAAATGTATTATGTATGTGAAATAGTTATTATTATTTTAAGATTTTTGTAAAAGTAAATTGTTTTTTACACATATAAAAAACCATGTTCAAAGAATAAGAAAATCTGTTTTATTATTTTAAATTATATAATCATTTCCACTAAAATATAAAAAAAATGAGAAAATATGATTATTTATGAGGTACTAAATTTGTCATTACAATCCAGAAACAAATCTCTTTATCTCTCTCATTTTTAATAAAAAATATTTAATAGTTAACTTAAGGATGTTAAGTAATAAAAATATGCCAACACTAATATAATAATAAATGCATGATCAAGTTTGATCAATAAAAAACATTAAAAAAAATACAATAAAATAATTCACAAACATTTAGAGAAAAAATATTGCAATGCATGTAGTACTTAACAATTAATTTATCAATACAAATTAAGGTTTAAAAAAATGTTTTAAGCCTATTATACAATAGAATACTCAAAAATCCAGAATCATTTTAGGTTGTCTAACCTAGACTTCAAGTCTTTAAGTAACGGTTGTGTGTCTGTAATATTATGAAGAGATGACACACCAGTAATTACAGAGTACATACTTTCTAATATTATTTTATAGTGCTCCTTTGTTCTGGTTGTGTAATTTATCTGAAAATAAAATTTCTAGTTTTAGATATGTTCATTAAGAATTAAACATGAGAATTTACTGGCAATGTATATGTATTATCAGTTATATTTTCTGTTGATGTCGAGGACTCTAATTTAATAATCTTAGGTGGTGGGATGTCACTATCACTATGATGATGGTGATTATGATTATGGTTAATTTCTTGAGAAATGCACTTCTTAGTTCGACGAAAAACTGTATTTTTTTTTAAATGAGTATCTCTTTCTTCACGAACCATGTCTCTTTTAGGACAAGAGCAAATTTTTACTGGAAGTACACGACGGCCAAGCACTTGACCACTGTAAAAATGATAAAAATGATAATAATAATTATTAATTATATTGAGATTTACTATTTTTTATAAATTCATAATTTATAGACATAAAGCACATACGTGTAATCTTCTAATGTAAATATTACAATTATAGGACGACGTTGCATTCCACTGATACAAGAAGTTTTGCATACAAATCTATAGGATAATCTAGTACTATCTGACCCATGTTCAGGTCTAGATAAGAGTGTAACGACACTTTTACGCTTACTAACTTCATCTTTATGATAGGTCGTACTTTCATTATCACAGCGTATAATATGTTCTAAATGTGTAAAACCTATCACAAAAAAATTAATCCTCATATTATAAAATTAATAATTTATAATAAATTTGAAAAAAAACATACAATAAATTCTTATTATATCAAATTTTTTTAAGAAGTTTAAGACATTGAGTTTTTTAAAAATGTATGGTATTTTCAAGAAAATTTTAACTTTTTCAATCAATAAAAAATAAAAATAAAGATACCTATCGACAATCGACTATTATATAAATTTAAATACATATATTCATTCTTGAAGTATAAAATTATCAACAAAACTGAAATACACCAGCAGAATACGAATAATCTCTAATTAACCATTCAATTTATAATGAAAGGTATATTAATTTATTATTAAATACTTCAAGAAGAAATTGTGTTTTTTCAGTTTTCATTAACTTAATTATCAAAACAACCTATAATTACTAGCAACTGTTGAAAAATTAAAATTTTGTATTGTTTACCTTTGTTGAACTGATCTATAGGTGATAAATGTTGTAAACAACGATCAACAGGTTCTTTTAGATAATCCGCTGAACTATACATAGGCATAGCACGTACAAATAATGGTGTATTGTTGGCAATCTTGTCAAAATCACATTTAAAATTTAACAAAAGTACCTTATTTATGTCAATAAAAAGTTTCTGTAGCGTCACGGAATACTAAAGGAGATAAAATTTGAAAAAAATATAACCATTAAATAATTAACAGAAATTATGGTACTGTTGTTACATGATATACTTAGTGCTTATAAGTGATCTATTTGCTATATAGCAATGATCATGTCCAACTAAAACTTATTTGAAAATTATATTTATGAGTATAAAATGATGTGATTATTATTAATTATAGGTATAATTAGAGCATACTCATGCAAGGGATGTATTGTTTTTCTTACTAACGTACAACATAGCAAATTTGTATTCAACAGAATCCATTTTAAGTTGTAAGTTTTAATATTAATAGTAAATTTAACTATTATCAGACTAAAAGGTAAGAATATAATTCAGGGTATCTCATAGGGTTTTATTAATATTATAATTTTAGAGTTAGAGCATTTTAAAGTAATATTATTTTACATAGCTAGAACTTTTTTAAATGATAATATCTAAAAAAGTTTATGAAATGTTTAAGATTATATTCTTGCCTTTAAGTTTTTTTATAGGTAAATCGGCTCTTATACCAAAATTAACAGGATAAAATCGGTTATATTGAAAATAAATTTGCTGTTAAATGTTAATAAGACTGAGATAACACATACAGGTGTAGTATCTTTTTAAAATAAATAAACTTTAACACATTATAATCATTGAACAAAGATAATAGATGAAAATAAACTACAATTCAAAAATTACCTCAAAACAATAATTAGTCTATCACTCATTATTAGTGTTAAATGTTTTTTTTTCATTATAACATGTTCTCAATGGCATACAATGTGTTTGAAATCTAAATGATTATTACAAAATAATAATGAAGTAAGTAACATAAGATGTACTAAAAAAGATTGACAAATTTATCGATTTCAACAAGCTGACAACAAATTTTTTTATATACTAATCTCAACAGTGAATGTCACAGTAATATTTTGCTAACCAAAATAGTTTAATTGATTTAATATTAAAGAGTCATCTTGTTTCAGTTAGAAAAACAACTATTTGGTATTTATGTAATGTTTTAACAATAATAAACATATTTTCAAAACTCAATAGGTAGACATTATGTAACAACAATACTGAAATTATTGATAATTTTAATAAAAACATAATACATACATTCCATTTTTGACGGTATGACTGAAAACTGGAATCTAACATCACTTCAAAATTATTACTGCCACCAAATTCATCCTGACAAGGTATAATACCAGTTGGTGATGATTTTACAGAACCAGCTGTACATGTTTCATGATTTTCTTGGTCTTCAGGCTAAAAATATAAATAATATGCTATAATACAATTTAAAATATAAAACTGCTTACATTTTCAAGATTGAAAAAGCTTTGTTAAATAATTGGAACCTGTAGTCAAAAGGATTATAAATAAAAATTCTTCATAATTTTCAAAATAATTTAAAAAAAATAAAAATTAGAAATTTGATAAAATAAACCAAACCAAACCTATGTTTTAATATAACAATTTGAAAATAATTAACTGTGGTCTTGAATTATCTATGCATTTTCTATAACAAATTTCAAACATTAAGTCTTTTATTGTGCTATTTATACATTATTTTAAATTTTTAAAGCTTAGTTTATTTTTGTATTTAAATAAATAAGTAGAGTAACTGAGTAAACATACTATACCTAACACCTATACATTTATTTTCTGTTTAAAAGTATTGTTTCTGATTATTTTACCTAGATTAAGATCAGAAAAATAAAGTATCACAGAAGACTACAAAAATAAAATTAAGAATAATATGTGAAAAAAGACCAGAAGACAACAAAATAATTACAAAAAATAAAAATTTTTTTCAAGTCATTTAAGAGTTTTATTTTATAACAAAAACAATCCAAAAATCTTTGGAAATGATTTTACACTACCAGGTTATGGAGAGGACTTATTTTATAAATTATACTAAAAATCTCAATTATTTTTATTTTTAATTAATTCTTAGAAATGGTTTATAAAATCATTTCTATTTATACTTGTTTTATAATGTCCCCAAACTAATGAATCAATACCACTCTTTAAAATACATAATTCTAAAACTCTATGAGTTTTCTTTAATTTTATACTTAATTTAATTTAGAATTTTAGAATTTCATAGTGTATTGTATTTTTTTATTTATTGTATAAAGTTGTTCATTATTAAATAATCTTTCTAGTTCTAAAGGGAAATCTGAATAATGAATATAGATTGTTAAGTTCTTTAGGATAAGATAAATCAACTTCTAAAATTTATTTTTTAAGTGATTTATTAAAAATGTTCATATTATTTATTATTATTATTCATATTATAAACCCATTTGAAATCTTTATCGTTTAAATATTACTTATTACTCAACTATAAAGATTATATGTGTACTTTCAAAATGTTGATTCCTCATTTTCTTTAAATTTATTTCTCATATATTTAATGTTTACTTTTGAGTATCTTTGACTACAATGTGATAAACCACTTTTGATACTAAATTTAAACATCAAAATTTATTAATAAATCTAATTTTTTATTAACCATTCTTAACATACACTTCTAAGCAAATCTTGGCGTGTAGTGCCATAGAAGATCTAATTTATAAGTTTTTAAAAGATATCTCTAATATTTTCCATTATATTTGTTAATGATAAAATATTGATCTTATTATATAAACTTTTTAAATTCACAAAGATTTTGTATTATAATTTATGATCATAGATATCTTAATATTCAAGGAAGTAATACCCAAGCAGTCCCCGCGGCGCTGTCGGTTCAAAAACCAAAAATTAAAAATTAAATATATCTTAACATTATTCAAAGTTACCGTCTGTGGATTATTTAAATCCACAATTCTCCCATTTTCCATTGGCATTGAAAAATAGTATTCATTGATCTCATTTGAATTTATAAAGACTTCATCAAGCTGTTGCTGTAATAGTGTTGATGCTAAACTACTACACCTAATAAAATTAAAAATAAAATGTATAAAAATGTACCTATAAACATTTATCTTTTAGGTAATCTAATGTTAATGTTTAATTTAAAATATTTATTTAAAAATATTAAATTAGATTTATCAATAACAATAGGAACACAAATAATAAATTTTTTTTGCCATTTAAATTACTATGTTAAAATTAATTGAATTTGATAAAGTAAAAAAAAATATTTTGCATATTAAATTAAATTTAAATAAGAAAAGCAAATAACAAGCAAAGCGTGCAAAGTGAAAAACATTCAAAGAACATGCTCATACTTACGTATCAAAATTATATATTTCTGCATTAGGATTCTGCATATCTGATTGGTCAAGAAATTTTGTATCGTCCATCTAATACAAAAAATATGTCTACACAAATTGTTACTAACTTGTTTTTCAAATTTCAAATTATAATATTTTACACACTCATAACTTGTATTAAAATTAAAATTTTGTAATAAAGTCAATACAAAATATAGACAATTAGTTAACTTTAAGTTTAGTAATAAGTCAATTTACTATAATGTATGCGAGTCTAAGAAAGAGAAAATAAATAGTATACTGATATCATCAATAAAGTATGTTTTTTTTTTATTTATAGAGTATAAGGTACCTACTTACTAATTAATAATATTTTAAACATTTTTATGTTTATCATTTATAAATCTTAATCAATAATTATTTATTATTTACAGATTTTGATAATTTATAGTAACCTTTTGAGAATTATAGAGGTCTTATAATAAAATAGTCAATAAGGTTATCAATAAATAAATCTCTTTGTTTTCTAGGAAATAAATTAACAAATAATACTACTACAATTAATAACTAGTTGCAAATGAAAGTTGTAATAAGATTTTTTTTTAATAATTTATATATATAAATCAGAATTATTAAAATTGTAAACCATGACGATGACTTCAAGGAGCATCACAAATATTTGTCTTCATTGAGAAGAAAAAAATATATATTCATAATTTTAATAGTTTTATTATTTTATTCTAAGAATAAAATTTGTGTTTCCTATCTATAATTATTATTATAAATAATTAAAAATCATAATCTTTCTGTATCCTGAATAATTTGAAAACTACTGAAATTCAGTGAAGATATGAAGGAGTGTAGGATAAAAATGGCAACTCTACTTAAATGTACTTGAAGTACCTCATAAATTTGATATACATTGTTTTGTGTATCTCCATCAAATTATTCCTACAACTGTTTGTTAACTTCATGTAATGCTAAAAATTACTGAATAATCATGTATAAAAATAGTATTGCCTTGATACCCAGTGAATAAGGTCGTAAATATAACTATAAAAACAACTACCAGTAAAGTGTACTAAGCCACTCAACATGCAAAAACTATTTGTGTTACTAAGAAGATTTTCTCAAGAGTGAATTGTATTCTATTTAATATACTGTAGATCTTTAATTATTTGAATATTATTTCTACTTAAAATAACAGCAAAATAAGTGCTTAACAATCACAATTATAACTATTAGACAAGCTATTTTTATGTAGTGACATCTTAGATGAAAAACATACAATATAAATATTAAATGTAATAATTAAACTCCAATTATTTATTTATTTATTTTTTTAATTATATTATTAATCTAATTATCTATTTAATATGAAAAATGAGTCATAAATGTAACAAATATGTAAAACATACAAGTTACACAATAAATAAAACTGCCTAACAATAAAATATTAAAAATAAAATCATTTGTAATTTATACTTTAAGTACGTTCTCAAAAAATGTAAAAAAATTATTTGATATGGATTAGATGTACTATAATAATAAATAGATTTTTAGAAAATGTATGACTTACAAGTGATGATTCCAACTTACAAATGTATGACATAGTTAAAATTACACTTAGTAGATGTTAGTCAATATTTAAGTGTATTTGCTTATCATTAAACATAAAGGTAACAACATATATCATTATTTGTTAGAAGTATTTAAGGAATTTTTATTTTAAATACATTTTCCAATAAACTGTTGATTATGTTGTTACTTTAGTTTAATAAAAAGTAAATTTATTATTAATACTAATAAAAATTAATGAGAATTTCTGAATATAAAAACACTATGTTACATATTTATAAGATAAGTACAATACATTTGAGTGAGATATCTTCTTTAAGTGGTTTCATAATTATTTTTCTACTTCTACCAAGAGTAAACACAGGATCTTTTCAATTTAAATTTAAATTATCCATAATTAACGGAATAAATTAAAACAAAATAGACAATGAGAGATATTGTACTCTAAACATAAAAATAATCACATATTTTAACTTTTAACCAGAGTAATAAATATATTGATTTTACAAAGATGTGTTTATTTTTGTCTATGTAAATGATAAGTAATAAAAAAAGCTTTGATTTTCAACTTTGAGGATGGTTTTGGATGGAAAATTGGATCTAGTTTGTACTTATTAGAGGTCAAAATTAAAAATTCTTATTAATTTTGTTATAGTCTGATGAATAATCATTGAACTAAAATTTAACAAAATCTATTTTAATGATTTACTCAATAATGAGTTCTGCTTAATATCTAATATACAGTAGAATGATACCCATTTGCCTACCTTTTTTACATTTTAATTTGAAAAATTAGAAAACTTTGAACAATTTTTGTCTGAAAAATGAATAGCTAAATGTCAAACCACTTCATCAAACAACAGAACAGAATAATTATATTTAAATATTTTTAAGCACTATAAATTTAAAAATATGAACAAATTGTATTCATACATTTATACTAAAATTATTTGTCAAGTACAGTATACTAAACCAGCCAATTTATCAAGCATAAGTTACGTTATAAAAATTACTTACAGTATTGCTAATAGTCAAAACTAAAAACTCAATTGTGATCTATTACTAAAATATGTGAATTTTTTAATTGTTAAAATAATTAATCAAAAGTGCAATAACTTTAGAGCAAACACAATTACGTAAATAAAAACAAAAACATAGTAGATATGTCATAACGCAAAACAAAAATTAGAATAAGAATAATATTTTACCGTAAAATCTTCGAAATGCAGATGGAAATTTGAGCAACGTTCCTACAGTTTAATACTATAGGATGCCGTAATGGCTTAAACAAATAACAATTATATAAACTCAATAAATTTAATGAGAATTAAGTTAATTTCAGAAAAATTTAAATTTAATAATAATGCACATGCAACCTGTATGTATACCACAAAATAAATAATTCCGGGTATTGTTATTTGTTACAGATAGTATCATACCCACGTTCCACAAGCTACAGGCTACAACAATCAAGTGTCAAGTGTCAACTACCTACAATTCTACTAACAGTTACTTTGCCACTGAACAATCAATGGGGCACCTTGGGGTTTGGATGGAACATATGACGCATATGACTATACGAGTGGCATAATAACAATAATAATAATATTAATTTATATTTTTTGTAAGGTGCATAACCTCAGAATATATACCGCGAAAATTTAAAATAGTTACTAACCACCATAGATTAATAGATAATAAACCACTGATTACATATACCAACTGATACCACTTAATTTTGTTTATAAAAACATCAACATTTGAAGGTTATGTTAGAATTATTCGTTTTCATACGTTATTCGATGTTTTGATGATAATTTTATTATTTATTATTTACCTTTAATAATTTAAAATAATAAAGTAGAGTTTAATAAGAAATCTAGTATATTTTTACAGTATATATCGAGTTTTTGAATTCGCAATATGGATTCCGATCTTTATGATGAGTTTGGTAATTATATTGGACCAGAATTGGAATCTGATGAAGAAGAAGAAGAACAGCCACCATCTCCTGAGCCAGAACCTCAGGATATAGATGTAACTAAGTAGATTTAATATGTGCAAAACTTATGTCTAATGTAATATTATTTTTGTAGATGATTGAAGAGAGTGAAGATGGACCCGAAGAACCGGGTATGAGTGTTGTTTTACATGAAGATAAACGTTATTATCCGAGTGCTGTTGAAGTGTATGGGCCTGATGTGGAAACATTAGTTCAAGAAGAAGATGAATTACCATTGACAGTGCCATTGGTTGCTCCTGTTAAACAACATAATTTCCAAATCAAAGAACAACATTTGCCTAACACGACATATAATATGGAGTAAATTTTGTTTGTATTATATTATAAATACTAAAATTAATTCAATTTCATGCTATTATTGTAACTAGGTATTTGGCAGATTTAATGGATGTTGCAGGCTTAGTGCGAAATGTTGCATTAGTTGGACATCTTCACCATGGCAAAACCAGCTTAGTAGATTGTTTAGTTCGTCAAACCCATCCAGATTTAGGACAATTAAACTTAGATTCAGCAGATGCTGATTTGATGCGTTATACAGATACTTTAATGACTGAACGTCAAAGAGGTGTTAGTATTAAAGCAACTCCTGTAACATTAGTTTTGCCTGATGTTAATTCTAAATCATATTTAATGAACATTTTTGATACACCTGGTAATAATTTTTAGAAATTTAAATTGCTGAATTTATTTATAAATCTAAACTTTGATGTTGATTAGGTCATGTTAATTTTTCTGATGAAGTAACAGCTGCTCTTAGAATTTGTGATGGAGCTGTAATATTTGTTGATGCTGCAGAGGGTGTTATGTTAAATACAGAACGTCTTATTAAACACGCTATACAAGTTTGTACAAAACTATGTAATTATTATGTTTGTAGAAAATAATTACATTTTTTCTTTAAAAATTTCAGGAGAAAGTAGCAATTACTATTTGTGTTAATAAAATTGACAGACTTATGTTGGAGCTTAAACTTCCTCCTCAAGATGCATACTACAAAATCAAGCATATAATTGATGAAATAAATTCTCTGTTAAGGTACAAACTAATATTAAGTTACTATCTAACTGTATAGATTTATATTGAATTTCTTTTACTTTTAAGCTGTTATACTTAAATCATTTTTAATTTTTTACAGTTTACATTCGCAAAATGATCCATCACGTATTGTTTCACCAGTTATAGGAAATGTTTGTTTTGCATCAGCTCAATATGCTGTTTGTTTCACATTAAAGTCATTTGCTAAACTTTATGCAAATCATTATCCTAATGTTAAAGTTGACAGTTTTTCAAAAGTTTTATGGGGTGATGTTTACTTTAATCCTAAAACTAGAAAGTTCTCCAAAAAACCTCCTCACAACAGTGCTCAAAGAAGTTTTGTTGAATTCATATTAGAACCATTATATAAATTATTTGCTCAAGTAATTGGTGATGTAGATACAACTCTCCCTGATGTTTTGGATGAACTTGGAATAAAACTAACAAAACGTGAAATGAATATTAATATACGACCACTATTACGCCTTGTTTGTGGACGCTTTTTAAATGATCTCAGTGGTTTTGTGGATATGTGTGTTAATCATATTCCTTCACCAGCAGAAAATGCAAAAAATAAAATAGATACAATTTATACAGGTCCTCAAGACACTGAACTAGCTAAGGATATGCTTGATTGCAATCCAGATGTAAGTTTCTTCAAAATATAATGTTATTTTTATGTTTAAAATTTTATTTTATTTTTTTAGGGTCGTTTAATGGTGCATAGTACTAAAATGTACCCTACTGATGATTGTACCTTCTTCCAAGTATTAGCTCGAGTAATGAGTGGGACATTGCATGCTGGACAAGAAGTTAAAGTTTTAGGTGAAAACTATTCTTTAGTTGATGAAGAAGATTCTAGAGTAATGACAGTTGGGCGATTATGGGTACATGAAGCTAGATATAAAGTTGAAGTAAATAGAGTACCAGCTGGTAATTGGGTTCTAATTGAAGGCATTGACCAACCAATTGTTAAAACTGCAACAATAACAGATTTAATAACAACTGATGATTTATATATATTCAGACCATTAAAATTCAACACTCAGTCTGTTATAAAGATTGCAGGTAAAGAAAAAAAAAATACTTAAGTCAATATTTTGAAAATATATTAACTAAAAAAATTCTAGTTGAACCTGTAAACCCATCTGAATTACCTAAAATGTTGGATGGTTTGAGAAAGGTCAATAAGTCTTATCCTCTACTTATTACTCGTGTTGAAGAATCTGGTGAACATGTTATACTTGGCACTGGTGAATTGTACTTAGATTGTGTGATGCATGATTTAAGAAAAATGTATTCAGAAATCGGTAAATATAACTAGTATTATATTGCTTATATAAGAACTAAATTTATATTTTTGTTAAAGATATAAAAGTGGCAGATCCAGTTGTTGCTTTTTGTGAAACTGTTGTTGATACATCATCATTAAAGTGTTTTGCTGAAACTCCAAACAAACGTAATAAGATAACAATGATTGCAGAACCATTAGAAAAAGGTCTTGCTGAAGATATTGAAAACCAAGTGGTTGACATTGCATGGGACAAGTAACACATATTTGTTTTTAATATTCTTATAAAATGTTGTTTTTTAAATGATTAATGAATGTGTATTGTTTAATAATAAATATTCTACTATTTAAGGAAAAAAATTGGTGAATTTTTCCAATCTAAATATGATTGGGATTTACTTGCAGCTCGTTCCATATGGGCATTTGGTCCAGATACTACTGGCCCTAATATTCTTGTAGATGATACTTTGCCATCTGAAGTTGACAAAAATATTCTTAGATCTATTAAGGATTCTATTGTTCAAGTGAGTTACTCACCTTATTACAAAACACCAATATTAATACACAATTTGAATAATAGTTTTATTAGATATTATTGTTAGTTCTAGTAAACCAAAAAACCATACATTTTTTTATCAATTATTTCAACTTAGTTTATTTTTCTAAGCCAGTTAGTCCTAAATTGTATCCCTTAAATTTATTTAATAATTGTTACTTTCATTCCATAGGGTTTCTTAAAAATTATAATAATTATATTTGGTCTAAAAGATTTTAACCAATTTTAACAGACTTCAGATTTAAATTATTTGTACTTTCTTTGCTTGATAATTTATTTTAGGCTAAGACTTTTAGAATAATAATTATTTGGTGTACATTTTAGGGTTTTCAATGGGGTACTAGAGAGGGACCATTATGTGAAGAACCAATTCGTAATGTTAAATTTAAAATATTAGATGCTGTTATTGCCCCTGAACCATTACATAGAGGAGGAGGTTAGTATAAATAGTTGGATAATTTAATGTTTTACAGTTTATTAAAAAATAAAAAATTGTAGGTCAAATTATTCCTACTGCTCGTAGAGTAGCCTACTCAGCATTTCTTATGGCAACACCTCGTTTGATGGAACCATATCTATATGTTGAAGTTCAAGCTCCAGCCGATTGTGTTTCTGCTGTTTATACTGTATTGGCTAAGAGAAGAGGACACGTAACACAAGATGCTCCTGTTCCTGGATCACCACTTTATACCATCAAAGCTTTTATTCCAGCAATTGATTCATTTGGTTTTGAAACTGATTTACGTACTCATACTCAAGGTCAAGCCTTTTGTTTGTCTGTATTCCATCATTGGCAGGTTAGTAAATTATATTATACATTTTAGTATATAAAACACATCATTTTATCAACATTCTCTGTAATAAGTTTATTTTCATTAATTTAGTATATAATATTATTGAAATTTTTACAAAAACTTAATTTTTAAATGCAACTTATTTTTTGCAAATATTAGAACTTTTTCATACATTTTAGATACCATTTACATATTGGTTAATTATCAATTTATTAAACTAATTTAATAAATATTCTCATACTAGTTTTTTATAGGCTTTAAAATTGTTTTTTGTCAAAGAGAAACTTAGAGTTAATAAACAATGTCACATTGATTAAGAAATTATGTCTGTTTGGTCCTTAAAATAAAACACTTTATTGTGTATATGCTTAGTAGTTTCCATGAGAAATTGATAACTTATATACAAGTTAAAAACAATAAATGTTATACTATTTATAATATAATACTATATATTTAGATAGTAAGTTAGTAAAGTATGATATATGCCTAACAATTGATTTCTGTATTTAAGTATTTAAATACTTTGTATTGTATCAATTAAAATAATTACTGGGGATTTTTAATTAAGATCTCTTAAAAAAAAAAAACAATATCCAATTCGTTATGCTAAACCACCCTCATAGTTGAAAATTGAAGCATTTTCTTAACTTATTGTGTACACA